CATCTGAATATGTTGTGTAAACATGATATAACATGCATAACTAAGCAGCAACCAAGAGAGGCAACCAACAGGTTCACCTCTTTATACAAAAGGAAAATACAATTAAGGAAGCAACAAAACAGTACCTGAATTGTAGCAGGGGAACCTTGAAGGGTGGCGCTGGAGTTTTGACTAATGGATGGCCTGATGAGAGAGAGTGAGAAGTGGAGATTAGTTGAATCTACAGAAGTAAAGAATAAAGGAAACAAACTGAAAAATGAATATAAGGACATCATGTAACTTGTACGTATGAGATAGATATAGTTTGATTAAGGGAGCATATAATGTATATATAATGACAATATGTGAACATAATTTCATAGTAGTGTATATTGGACGAATTGGAGCTAGGGAGAGGAAGGTATAGAGCACAAAATGGGGCTCTATTAAACTGTGTGCATCACTTGTCAACTAATTTATTCCTCTGTTTGTTTTCATTTCAAGCTAGTTGTTTTAATTTGAAGAAGACATGTATAGAAGGCAGTACAACTTATTATTAGCGTCCTCTAATAAAGACGACATGGACATGTACATCTATAATATGGGTATATAATAATTATCAGTACAGTAGTTGAAGAGGAGGATGAATAATCAGTAATCACAACCTTAGCCAAAATTAGAGGACTTACAGAGTGAGGAACACAATTAAGCAGAGAAGTGAACTGAGGTCTCATTGCAACAAAAACATCTATTTATTAACGTGAAGGAAATGAATTACCACCAGGTGACCTGAATGTTTTCACTTAGCTGTCACAATGGAAAGAATAGGTGTCAGAATGCTGAAAGGATGAGTGTGCATAATCTTAGCTAAGGGACACTTCAAAGTTGCTGCCTGTAATGATGAATCAGATAACTACCAAGTCTTCTAGCATAAATTGGGATAATCACAAAAAGGAATTTAGAACGGATAGAACTATACATAACATAACAAACCTCATATGGAAAATTTTAGAACAGATAATCACAATGAAAAAATTTCGAAACAAAGTAGAATCATACAGAACAAACCTTGCTACCTACTATGGGCAATCAATCATCATGACATTCTTCGTCTTCCCCTTCCACAACTCTCACATAGAGATAAAGTTCAGCCGATATTAAACTTCACCTCAATTTCGATCGACCTGGAATCCCCGACCACCGGTTGAAACGTCAACGACCGAAAGTATTATGCACAACCACCTCAGCTACATCTCCCTTCCTATGCTGCTTCTTTGGCATTTCCCCCTTCTTGTTGGTAAATCCAAATCCATAACTTCCAGAGATCTCATCTGTCTCTCTCTATGTTGCTTCTTCTCTCTCTTTTCATTTGAAATTGTTATGTCCATTCCACCGCATGGCCGCTCGCTGGCTCCATCTCAATGCAACTTTGACATAAGCTACATATCTCCTTAATCTCCGAAGTCGGCAATACACCCCATTGCTTCCCATTGTGATACTCATGAGTTGGGCGTCAACGTTTTAAACAGGAGGTGAGCGGGCTGGTTGATCAATTTCCCTAAATATTTGGTAGGGAGACATTGAATCTGACCTAATTGATTTATCAGATTATTTTACCTTAAGGGTTCAATGTTGGAGATGTTGATGGTGCCGAAGAAGGATAAAATGATTGAGAATGAGAATTAGACTTTCCTGGATGGAGAATAAGGAGATGACATTGAGTTAGAATCGAGTTTGCTAACGGGGAAGGGCTGAGGGACTATGCAGCGATGGCTGTGGGTGGGAGGAAGAAGAAACCCGACAGTTGTGGTGGAGAAAAATCAAAACGACATTAGCAGTGGCAAACTTGAAAATAGCCAAATCATGTGGGGGCTTTACTGGTACTTTGGACACGTGTCAGCTCCCTGGCTCTTCTGGGCTTCCAACCCGGCTTTTATATATAGTCTTTAATTTAATGCGATAGACCTCTCTAGCTGTTTTTCAATACGTATGGTGTTTGTTATATAGGTGGATGATTCTATTTGACGTCATTATAATCCAGTTAAAAAGTGACGTGTTTGATTAAAAATGGAAAATTTTCTATTAACAATCGGTACACGAAATTAAATGACATTATGATGATTATTAATAACCATGAACATTATTAACATAATTGGGCCTTATATAGTATTAGCGTTTATTAGCCCAATTAGCAAGCTTTGTCCCTAACGGTTTTGACAAGGTATTCAAGACAAATTAATTGGATTGTAATTAATTAATTTTATAAGTAATTACGTATGATATTACTACTATTTGAAGTTAATTACAAGTTATGACTTACGAAAGCCGACTCATGGGCTTGAAGTTTGCACAGGTCTGCCATACTATGTGCTTGAAAGACAACGGTTAATATTGGGGTCGTGAGGACTTGAACACGTGACCTTAAGGACAAACCAGCTCTGATACATGTCATAAACAAGTTGGTCCCAATAGTTTCTAGTGAAAAAGGGTATAAGTATGTAACCATGGCAATAAGCCGCAATCAATCAATACCATAGAAACTCATATTCCCGTGGATGTAAGCCTCACAAACTGTGAGGAAGAACCACGTAAAATTGTTGTCTCTCGTATCCTTTCATACAATTTTACATGGTATCAGAGCTGTGCTAAGATCCAGTTTCTCGTTTCTCTCCTGCCATGACTCTCGACGGTGAAGACCCCAACGGGAACCCGTCCGGCGGTGCCGCAATCAAGCTCGAAGATCCTCTTTCCTCTGTTTATCTTCTTTCTCCATCGGATGGTCCTGGTAATCTCCTGGTCGGTGATGTCTTGACGGCATCTAATTACGGTGAGTGGGTCCTTGATATGAATGATGCCCTAATCGCCAAGAACAAATATTGTTTTGTTGATGGTTCCCTTTCCAAGCCTACTAACGCGTAGGAGAAGGCCGTTTGGATCCGCTGTAATGACATGGTGAAGGTTTGGTTAAAGACTTCTATCGACAAGGAGATCCGTAGCAGCATCTGTTTCGCCAAACACGCTGCAGTAATATGGACTGACCTTCATGAGCGTTTTGGTAAAGGTAGCTCATCTCGCACATATGAATTGCGACGTCTCATCAGCCTCTTACAGCAAGAGAAGCACACAGTCTCCTCCTTCTACACTCGCCTACGTGGTTATTGGGAGGAGATTTCGCAGATCACTCCACTGTCGAGCTATGTATGTGGACATTGCACATGTGGGATCTCCAAGAAGGTGCGTGAACAACAAGACACAGCTCGCCTTTTTGAGTTCTTAATGGGCCTTGATGACACGTTCAGTGCCATTCGTTTACAACTCCAACATGATTTTATCCTTGATCGAGTATTACATGTCCGTGAATTTAAATGTAACCGCGTCTCGGTAATCCGATTGACTAAGGATAATCGTGTTGCCTTGATTTTTCTGGATAATTTTTGCGTAATTCAGGACTTACGCTCGAAGAAGTTAATTGGGAAGGATGAGCTACGTGATGGGTTGTATTATCTGCGTTTATTTGGGACTGCACAAACACGTGCGTGTGCTATCAAGCGTGGAGGTTCAAGTTCGTCAACTCTTTGGCATGCCCGTCTCGGGCATCCATCTCCAGAAAAGGCTTTACATTTGAGTCACTTATTATCTTTTCCTGTTGGTTTGGATACTGGCCCTTGTCATTCTTGTTTACAGGCCAAACAGATACGAGGACCTTTTTCTTCGAGCATGATTAAAACTGCTTCTCGTTTTGAACTCATTCATATTGATATTTGGGGAGGTTATAAGGTTGCTTCACTTAGTGGTGCTCATTATTTTCTAACCATTATGGATGATTTTACTCGTGGTGTCTGGGTCTATCTCTTGCTCTACAAGTCAGAGGTCGAACGATATCTTATCCAGTTCTGCAACATGGTTCGGTCTCAATTCAACTGTGATGTCAAACTCATTCAGACTGATAATGGGCATGAATTTCAAACCACTGGCCTTGTCGAGTTCTATGAGCAAGAAGGCATTCTACTACAGACCTCGTGTGATGACACGCCCCAGCAAAATGGTGTGGTGGAGCGGAAACATCGCCATATCATAGACACAGCTCGTGCTCTCCGCTTCTAGGCCAGCTTACCCATCCGGTTTTGGGGGGAATGCATTCTTACAACAGTTTATTTGATCAATTGACTTCCCACCAAGTCTACTGGTAAGACGCCATTTGAACTACTCTTTGGTCGAAATGCAACTTATCGTCACCTGTGTGTCTTTGGGTGTCTAGCATATTACAAGGACACGCATGCTCATTTGGATAAGTTCAGCGAACAAGGTCGTGCAGGATTATTCTTGGGCTATGCCGCCAGTCAAAAGAGGTATAGAATTTATGACTTGGCTTCACGTCGCATTATCACTTCTCACAACGTTAAGTTTCAAGAACATCTATTCCCATTTCAAGATGGCGCTCAACAAACCCTCCATTGGATCCCTCGTCCCACCATTACTGCTGCACCCGAGTTCCCTCACTCCTCTCCACTCATGGGGCCTCTGTCTTCCCCTCCTGGGCCGGAGCCCAACTCTTCTGCTCCTCGTTCGGATTCGTACCCATGGTTACCCGAATACCCGTGGTTATCCGGTGGGTAGGGTATGGTTATTCATTTTCATAGCCGGTGGTTATTTGATCGAGTATTTTAGAAGGCTCTACTCAACAGATTAGGAGTTGGTATAGGGTAAACCCACACCCGACCTACCCATTGCCATCCCTACCTGTAACTTCAGGCAGAACTCCCTAAAATCTCCATTCCCAGCTAATCGACGACCTCAGCTCCCAATTCTTCAGCCAAGTCGCGACAACAAATCTAAGATATCAATCGTTCACCAGAAGGCTGATGGTTTGCAGATCAGAACCAAGGATGGCCATTGGATCGACGTCAAACTCTAACCTTCCTCTTTTTTGGTGCTGGCTGGTGATGCGCTTATGGTGAGTGAGTATTGATATGGAGTTCTATAAGTATGTAACGAGTCTTTAACTGTTCGATTGATTATCGGTTTGTGTAAAATGTGCAGCCTATAAGCAACGATAGAATACCAAGTTGTTACCATCAAGTGATAATCAGAAGGAAGGAGATGAGATACTCTGCCGGGCTCGGATCTATTCTCAGTGGAACAGTGAAGATGAAGGAGTTGGGCGACCCTGCACTGCACTACAATTCATTTGATCATATCGCTTACCTCAACTTGTCATTCAGAGAATGCCCATTATATTGGACTGTGCTATTAAGACCTATGATGGGTTTACCAAAGAACTCTTCTTCTGGTGGTCTATAGGTAGGGGTGGGCATTGGGTGGGTCGGGTGGATTTTGACCATAAAATGCACCCACCCGCGCTTAAATGGATTGATAATTTTTAACCCACCACCCACCCACATCTAGTCTCGGGTTGGGTCGGGCGGATGGTGGATGATTTGGGTGGGTTTGTGGGTTCACCCACATCACAATGTATATAATATAAAGGAGTCAACTTGACATGATAATAGGCGAAGAGAGTTATCTGGGGAAACAAGAAGATGAAATAGGGCGAAAAATGTCAAATTAGTTCTTAAATTGGATAGAAATTCTATTATGAAAGAGTTTTCTACAGATTGAGATGATTTTCAGGTGCAAGGAACTAAGAAAAATAATTCCACAAAGGAAAGAGCAGTGATCTATGCACAAGAATTAGAAGAAAAAAATAAAGCGAACAGGAGGGGATCGCTATTTGGAAGGTTGGCTTTGAGGTTCAAACTCCTGGAGCATTCCTAGTTTATGTCTAACGTCTCCACTCTCCCCTCTCTAGCGCCGACGACTTTGATCTTTTTGCTGTTGGGTTGAGCGGGTCACCCGCGCACCCACCCACAACCCACCCACCACCCGGCGGATGGCTCCCAACGCAACCCGTCACCCACCCATAGACCCACCCACTTAACGAAATTCGGGTCAAATGCGGGTGGGTCGGCCCAAACCCGCGGATGATCCGCTCGCATGCCCAGCCCTATCTATAGGATTACTGCCAATCTCGAAAAAACCTTGTTTCACTCTACTGTTACATATAGTGATCGTTGCAGTTTGTATTGGTATAACAATGTAATAATGATCCCCTATCTCTTCTTCTCGTCCATCAAACGCTGGATCTCAGCCTCAATCTGCTCTTCCTCCTCCGATATCAAAGACAGTTCCAAATCCAGCAAACTTAGGTGTAGCTCTCCACGAGTCAACCTCGCATCCATTTCCCTCATTTCTCTAGAAGTGACAGCTGATTCAGCTTCAGCGTTCTGCATACTCATCACTATCTCGGGAACACTCTGTTTCCACTCTGCCAAGGAAACCAACACACTCTCCTTCGTCGCCCTGTCATCCAAACTCGATGACTGCTCAATCATAGCGAGAACAGCATGCTCGAAGTTGCCAAATGCATTGGCTTCTGCCAAATCTTCCAATGAAAGGCTCAGAAACTCCTTAACAGTCTCGGCTAATGCAATTGTATCGTCGCTTGTTATTGTTCTTGTTCTTTTCAGTAACAGGAATTTCTCCTCCAAGTCTGTTCCAGTGGTAGTAGGAGTACTCTGCCTACCGCGCTTTTGACTATATCTAGCTGATCGACTGCGGCAGATTCTTTCCTCTCCATCGAATTCTTCAATGAGATGAAACCTGGTAACAATAATGAGAAGTAACCAAGATTTAATCAAACGATTCAGAGGGGAAAGGCTGGCTAGATATTAAGAAAAAGAAGCACTCAGTTTCAAATTCGGTTACCTGGAACATAGTTGGCAAAATCGCTGCATTACCTTCCCCAACATTGCTGTACTAGTGTTACAGTGAACCTGACAAGTCTGGATTCTTTGGTGGTAAATCTTTTCACTGCTAAGTTCAACCCCGCAGTCTTCCACTTGACAGCAAACAGATGTAGTGGCCTCAGCAATCTTCAGTGGCTCATTCCCTACACTCTCTGTGTCTTTATGTTCTTCATCGTTCAAAATTTGTTGTCGATCTTTCTTTGGTATAATAGCAGCATTCTTACCCTGCTCCTCTTCCAATCCATAATATACTGCATTGTTTATGGCTAGGATAGTTTTCTCTCTCGTAAAAGCATTAGAATCCTCCAATGTTATAGTTTTTTCTCCCCTCGACTCCAAAGACGGGTCCTCCGATGGCGGTGAATCTACAGCACTTGCTCTGGTCGCTGCAACAGCATCCACTTGCACCAGTGTGATAGGTTGTGGTGGTTCAGGAGAAGCATCTTCAGAGGCTGCAAAGATCAAACAGAAAGAAACAGGTAAAACTTCACAAGTTCACACCATTCGATTTTGTTGATTACGATGAATTATAATCAACCTACAGTGGCTAATGAGGATGCCGGTAATGGAATTCCATAAACTTGAGCAGCCAGAAATATTGAGAGTTTCAAGGGATGTCATCAACTGTACAACACTGCGAGGGAGACGGTTAATTTTTTCACAGTTTCTTAGATTCAGTTCACAGAGACTAGAAATGCAACCAAGCGATGGAGGAAGTCTGTTGAGATTTGAGCAGTGAGAGAGATCAAGTGTTTTGAGGAACTTCAGCTTCATCAGACTTGGAAGCCCTCTGAGACTCTGACACCCTTTGAGGTTGAGATGTTGAAGCTTGGTAAGATGTTGGATGGAGGATATCCCAACCAGGTATATGCAGCCTTCAAGTTCCAAATCCTCAAGTTTCAGCGACTTTGATAGGTCGGGTATCCAACGTAGAGCAGAGTGCTTCAAATCTAGATGCTTCAAGCTTACCAAAAGCTGCATGCAGTAACATACATAACATTAGGATGAATTACTTCCTGTGAGATTTCATTTGGAAATGATAAAGATAGAGCAAATGTTCTTGGTTATTACCTGCATCCCTCCGTCCCAAAGCTGTTGAAATTTGCAATATGGCAAGAAAATGGACACAAAGTATTGTGCACAAAAAGAATACAATGATGAGGGAGACTTTGAAAGGTATATGTTTCCTGTATTCATGAGATCATTACAGTGATAAGGCTCCTTCTCGGGTGAAGCCATGGAAAATTGAAATTGTAACTGCCTTGATTCTTCAATTTCTAATGTTCCTTCGTCAACTTTTTCAAGCTCTTGATGCTGTTGAAATTCAAGGGCCATTGTGTCATTCTGCTCTCCACTCCTCATCAAGTAACTGGCAGGTGACAGCATGGCATTTGCCTTTCCATTTCCAGAAGTAAAACTCCTTCCACTTTCAGGGAAGGAGTAAAATGAATCACTGAAATCATCGATAGCGAAAAAATCCATCCCGATTCCAAGATCAAGGCTAGTTTTTATATCAAATCTCAACGGGTCACTCGTGTTCAGCCCAAAGTTCTCATTGCATCGAGTCTCAGCAGCAGTGGAACTCATATTGTTCCCAAAACCGAGGCTAGTAATGTAGCTACTTTCTTCACGTTCAATACTGCCCATAGCTGCTTGCGATGCAATGTCATGATTAGCAGTAGTCTTACCTCTTGAAGTTGCAGTAACATGGTTATGTGTGTTTTGAACTGTGGTCGTAACAAACTCAGGATCATCTGAATCCCTACACATGGTCTTTCTAGCAGGGCATCCAGCATGCGTGCACTTGTAATAAGCCCTGAATTTTGAGTTATAACCAGAGTTAGGAAGATATATATATCAGGAAGATAAGCAATGCAAATGAAAAGATTGCAAAATGTAACCTAACTCTTTTGGTCAGTGGTAAGAAATAGCTACCTGGGATGAGGACTTCCCAGCACCGATTTCAAGCCATACTTGCGCCAACGATAACCATCATCCACTACATCAATCTTACTCTTGGTTCGGAAAGTGACAACTTTGGGCTTGACTGCTGGGGTAGCATCAGAACTCCTAGTATCCATCTTCCTGATTGATACAAATACAAAACTCTTAAATATCAACTTACAAATCTCTTAAAAGAAAACAATGGATGATGTTGGGTTAGCACCTGTAACATCTGCCGAAGGTAACATCATGAACATATTCTTCCTCTTCTGTTGTAATGCCACTTTTCCCCGAACTCATCCTTGATAAATCGCTCACAAGGTTTATGCCACTATTATCCGATCCAATACAGACGGAGTCACCATCAACCACACGAGCTGAACTTCCATGGCTGCTGCTAGTCTTCGCTGAAGGTGTAACAACATTGTGATTGTGTGTGCCTTTATATGTAGTAATAACAAATTCAGGATCATCTGGGTCCCTCTCTACACACTTTTTCACTGAGCATCCCACATATGAGCACTTGAAGTAACTCCTGAGACAAGAAATGCAAAAGGAATGAGCAACAGTAAGTAAAAATGTAGCACCACCTCTTATTGTCAAAATTCAGAAGTATTACTTGGGATGACTTCTCGACCCTGCTTTTTGCCCATACTTGCGCCACCGGTGGCCATCATCGAGCGCATCTGCCTCACTCTTGCTTCGCAAAGAAACAGTTGCACCCTTTACTGCTGGGGTAACGACATTGGAACAGCAACTGTCCACCTTCCTGATGAAGGCAAATGAACCCATTACTGATCCGGCTAAGTAGCTACCCATAACCAACCTCTCCACGAACAGAACAACACAGGTAATAATGATGCACAATCAGCAAGTACCTGGGACTTTTTGCCATGGCATCATTCCCATCATCTACGTTTGCGCCATCTACAGCAGAAATTGCCATGTGGGGGAGGGTTGTAAGTCGTTCAATGCCATCATTGACTGGCTCAGACATGACCAGTTCACTTTAACAAGAGGTTGGGATTTGGGAAACAGGATATCTGCAAAGCTTTCCAAATCCATCAGTAGGCTTCTTAAGCAGGAGAAAAGAAAAGAAGGGGTCTTTCTTCAGAGAAAATTGAATCAACTGCAACATAATTGAAGTAAAGTAAGCTGTTTTGCAGAGATATCAACCTTGGTGAGGCGAATAACAGATGCGAAATGGGAAACCACACGTTGACCACCGTAGGCAAGGCTGATCCTGCAGCCAGGCCAATTGAGCCAAAGATGTATATAGGGTAGCTGGGAGACTAAAGTTATCGGATTGTGGGATCGACAAAGAAGGAAGCTTCGTGCATCGTCGGCTAATAATACGCGTTTTTAAACACACTTGGGGATTGCGTAGCATATTCAATCAGTGCCAAATTTGGGGGGTCATAACTCACAAGTCAACTCTTTTCTCCCCTACCGCCGGCAAAAAGAGCTACCAACAGCCGACGAAGAAAGAAGATCGCGTACCCGTTTTTTGGTCCGGACGACGAAGAGGCAAACGGAGAGCCTGATCGGGCTGCCGGCCATCCCCTTTCACTTTGCCTGTTCGAGATTCGTATTCGAGGGGAAGAGAGAAAGTTACACGGTTTCGGAGCCGAAGGAATTGCATGGAAAATGTTGTGGAGTGCATTGCACTTTGCTTTTCAGGAAACGGAGAGATCGGAGGGGAAGGACAGGGAGCAAAAATTAGGTCGCCGCTGTTCAGTTATCGGATAAACGACGGCGACGGATCAGAGGATACATACGGCAGTGAATTAACATTCTAATTGAGTTTTCCACGAGGGCAAAGGCTACATTTGGTCACTGGAATTAGTAAATCGTGTCATGTTTAGTCACTAGAAAAAATTAAGATTTAATTTGGTCACTCAAATTACTAAAACAGGTCATATTTGGTCACTCTTCGGTAGTCTCCGTCCAACTCTGTTAATGGAGTCATTTATGTGCTGATGTGGCTAACGGGAGCGTCTAGTCAGCATCATTTTGGACCGGAAACGGCCAAACCCTACCTACCACGTCATTAAACACGTCATGCCATACAACCAACCCAACCCATTAACCCAACCCGACCCAGAACCAAACCTGAGGTCGTCACCACCACTAACACCCGCGTCCGGTGACTACCCGCCGTCCCACCACCACCGCAACCACCGTCGTCCGGCGACCACATCGGAGGGTAAAACCACCCGTCCACCACTGAGTCAACGAACACCGCCTTCTTTTCCTCCCGCATCAACATCAATGCTCTTTCTCTTCCCCACCGGCGTCATCACCGCCTAGTCTGTCTGATCACCACCGCTAATTATTGAGAGGAGAAGAAGTAGAAGACCATCAAAATGGGAGCAGAAGGACCATAGAGAGTCAAAACTTTTTCCATGAAATAGACATCCCAACATCGGTAAAAATTAGAGCAACATCTTAATCTAAAAATTGGAGATTTTTAAAGCTCGCCCCTTTTGAGCCTCTTCTCTCAAAATTGTTCATGAAACATAATCTCATTAGGTGCCTTGCGCGGCGGAACAAGCTTTGGAGATCTATCGTCGACAAGTTTTAGAGGAATGGATGGCTGCGGGGAGAAAACAAGTAATCCATTAGCCTCTGCTCCGGGTTCCCCTTCCCTCCACTAGACCCGACTCGAGACAGGATTTTCGCTGCCAAGTCGCTCTACCCTTTATAAATAGCCGCCACTACTTGCATCAACATCGGCCTCGTGCAAATCGCTGGAGTCGCGGCAGAGGTTGTCATGGAAGAAGTAGTAGAAGACGACGAGGGAGAAATCTCGGATTTGGTTATGGGTCGGGTTGGGTTAATGGGTTGGGGTGGATGTATGACATGGTGGGTTTAATGACATAGCGGGTAGGGTTTGACCATTTTCGGCCCAAAATAGTCATGTCAACACATAATCATTTTAGCCGCTGATTAGGCGCTCATGTTACCCATGTCAGCACATAACAGACTCCATTAACGGAGTTGGACGGAGACTAACGGAGAGTGACTAAATATGACATGTTTTAGTAATCTGAGTGATCAAATTTGATATTAAATTTTTTCTAGTGACTAAATATGACACGATTTATTGTCAGATTTGGAATGATAATAGAAAACAGGTAATTAAATGGCGTTACTAAACATTATTCGCTCGTGAAAAAGGTTAATGCCATTTTTGGTCACTGGGATTAATAAATCGTGACATGTTTAGTCACTAAAAAAAATAATATAAAATTTGGTCACTCGAATTACTAAAACTGGTCACACATAGTCAATCTCTGTTAGCCTCCGTCCAACTCCGTTAATGGAGTTCGTTAAGTGCTGATGTGGCTAACAGGCGCACCTAGTCAGAGGGATCAATTATATATAGAACTTTTGTTACTTCAGGAGTCAGTGGTGCCATGTGGAAACTTGGGAGATTTCAATGCTATTAATGAGTCGAATGAAGCTTCTAATTCTCTGGTTGTTACTTAGAGTATTCTGGTTTTCAGGAACTGGATAAGTACTATGAAGTTAATAGATCATAAGGTAACATGTTATTGGTTTACCTAGTGGAATAAGCAGGAAGGAAATCCCATTGCAAGGAGGCTTGATCGGTTGGTGGTGAATAAAAGATGGATGGAGGTGTTTAGAGTGAGTTCTGCTTGTACTACAGATCCAGGGGTATCTGATCATTGTGGCATCTTACTGGAAACTTCTCCCGTAGAATTGTTGCCTAAACCATTTAAATATTTTGGATTCTGGAAGCAACATCCTAGATACTTAACTATTGTGGGTAAAGCGTGGAAAAAGGAAGTGGTTGATGTCACGCATTATGTGTATTATGGTATATTAAGGGGAGTGTAACGGGTTTGAGTAAACTTAGTAGGGAGGAATATGCTGAAATTTCTGAGAGAGCTGGAGTGCTTGAGTAGGAATTGGCAAGGTTCAGTTTGAAGTGATGAGGGATCCTCACTCTATCATAATAGTCGAAGAGAAGAAGTTGGGGATGGATTGTTGGGAAGCTAGAAGAGTTAAAGAGCTATATTATAAGCAAAAATCTAGAACCAAGTATGTTTTGGAAAGAGATTCAAATACTGCCTTCTTTCAAAATTTATGAAAATACGGACTCCGAAGCAACAGATAACAAGGATTATTGATTCTCAGAACAAAGTGGTGGAAGATGTGAAGGGTATTAGAGAAGAGGTTGTGGAGTTCTACAAAAATCTTATAGGCACAGTGGATGCTGCTATGGTAAAATAGTCAGAGAGTTATTATGATGATCTAATATAGTTGAAGTTGAATGATGAAGATGACCGGTCTTATGCAGGTTGTATCGAGGCAGGAGATAAAGCAAGTTTTCAGAGGAATGGGGAGGGACAAAGCCCCAAGGCCAGATGGGTTCCTAGTGGTGTTTTATTTGATCATTGGGATATCGTTGGGAAGAATGTTAAGGAGGTGATTATTCATTGCTTTTCTACTGGTATTATGCCTCATGTTGTAATGTGATTTACAAAGGCATATCTAGAATTTTGGCTATTAGGTTGTCATCAGTTCTTCCCAAAGTTATTAATCGATCACAATCTGCCTTTATTAAGGGGGGGGGGTCCATTAGTGATAACATCTTTTTGGTCTCGGACTTGGTGAGTGATTATCACAGGAAGCATATTACTCCTACGTGTGTAGTAAAAATAGACATTATGAAGGCTTTTGATTCGATTAATTGGGAGTTCCTCTTCATTGTTCTGAAAGCTATGTAGTTCTCTTCTGGGTTTGTTACTTTGATTAGAGTTTGTGTCACTACCCCTAGTATTAGTGTGTAAATGGAGGCTTGTATGGGAAGTTTTCAGCTTGTTGAGGGTTAAGACAGGGAGACCCACTCTCTCTCCTTATCTTTTCGCAGTGGCAAAGAAGCTTTTGAGTGTTTAATGAAAAAAGTAGTAGATTACTGTCAAATTCCCTTTTATCCTAGATGTAAGCCTATGGGATAACTCATATTTGCTTTGCTGATGATTTGATGGTGTTTACTAATGGATTTATTCGTGGTGTGGCTGAAGAAAGTAGGTTATTGGAAGAGTTTTATCTCTAGGCTGGTTTTAGGTGTAATCCTGCCAAGAGTCAGTGTTTATGCGCAGGTATACAGTGGAGGAGAAAGAGATAATATATGGGTTTACGGGTTTTCCTTTAGGTACTTTCACGGTTAATTATCTAGGTGTTCCTCTAATTTAGGGGAAGTTAAAGAGACAGATTGTAAGATTTTAATTGACAAGATCACAAAGAGATTAAGGACTTGGAGGGCACACCTGCTTAGCTATGTAGGAAAACTGCAACTTGTTTCTCTTGTTATTTCAAGTACGCTTCAATATTGGATGAATTTATTCCTACTTCCTCGGTATGTGATAAAGGAAATGGAGAGGCTATGTAGTGATTTTCTATGGAATGTCAGTGATGATCTGGGACGATCCAAAGCAGTTATTGCCTGCGAAAAGTTTACAAAACCAAAAGATGAGGGTGGGCTCGGAATTCCGAAGTTTTGAATCTGGAATCTAGCATGTGTTGCTGGGCATGTATGTTATCTTTTGGCTGTAAGTGGCTCTCTGTTGGTGAGCTGGGTGATAAAGTATAAAGTCAAAGATCGGAACTTGTGGAATATCTCTACCTCTTCTACCGGGACTTGGATCCGGAAGCAGATTCTGAAGTGCAGAAATGCTATAGAATCATTTGTCTCTGGCTCAGGGGAAGACCTAGCTTGGGATGGGGAGAAAATGCAGAAATACTCTGTCTGTCGGGTATGGAATTCGATTAGGCCTTACGAGGAAGTGGTGCTTTGGTCTAAGTTGGTGTGGGGTAAGGACATTGTCCCAAAGCATGGATTTGATCTATGTTTGGCTATTCTTCATAAATTAACTATGCAGGACAGATTCATCAATTTGGGGAAGACCATTTCAGGGTGTTGTTTCCTCTGTCCCCGGAGGAGGGGGGGGTGGGTGGAAACTCATGATCAACAGTTGGTTTAGTGTTTATATACGTGATGTGTTATTGAACATTGTTTGAAGGTCAATATCTATCCCCGATTAGCAAATTGGAAGAGCGTGGTTTCATGGTGTGCGAGATATTGGAGTAAGAAGAATGCAAAAGCTCGCCTCTGTAGGTTCATATAGAGTACTTCTCTCAGTCTAACATGGAGAGAGGGATGTGGTAGGATGTATGGGGTAAAATTGTTAGCAGTCTAGTTGTGATGTGTCGTGAAGTCTAGAGTATTGTAAGATGTCGAGTGACTGCTAATCAGGTCTTGTGTGATGGCTTAAATAGGCTTTGTTTTGATTGGTAGATAAATATGGGAGTATAGAAGTATAGATACTATATACTTTGAGTGGGTTGTATTGGTTTGAGAAGCTGCTAGGTTTTTCCAGTGAGTCTGTTCTTAATGCATTATTTTATTTAACCTCCAAGCAAAGGGACTTGATGCACGTCCTACGTAGGAATAAAGTAGATGTAGTGGCAGTTCTTGAAACTCGTATAAAGGCAGAGAAGGCTGAAGAGCCTGTAGAAGAGGTGTTTGCTGGGTGGGAGAAATGTTTTCACTGTGTTGACTCAAATTTAGGTCGAGTATGGTTATTTTGGGACCCTGGGATTAAGCTTCATGTGATAAAACCAGGGAAGAATTATTTTCATTGTTGGTAGAGGATGTCAATAAGGATTGCTTTTTCATGACGGCTATCTATGCTTCCAATGATGAAGCAGAGCGCCAGCATACTTATAAGGAGATTGCTAAGCTGAAGGTTGTTGTACGTCCTTGGATTGTAGGTGGGGATTTTAACACGGTTCGCGTACCGGAGGAAACATCAAATCATAGATGCTCAAAACTAGTATGGATGATTTCAATACCTGGATTGGGGAGATGGAGTTGCTGGATTACAGAACTACTGGCCCTCAATACACATGGACTAATAGAAAGGTTAATCGCCCTATTACCAGGAAGTTGGAGAGAGCGTTGGTTAATCTGGAATGGATTGAAATGTTCAAGGACTGTGCTAGGGAAGTTTTTCCTGCAAACTTTTCTGATCATTGTGGTGTGCAGGTTAGTACAGTGGCTCCAATTAAATCTCTGTCAAAACCCTTTAAATATTTTGAGTTCTAGGCTGAGCATCCATTGTTTCTGGAAATTGTTGAGAATGCTTAGAAAGTTGAGGTCTTAGGGAATCCTTTGCATATTGTTCGGGGCAAGTTGCGTGAGGTTAAAAAGGCTATAAAGAAATTCAATAAAGAGGCGTATGAGAATATTTAAGATCAAGTAAAAGAGGCAGACAATGCTTTGCAAAGTGCACACACTAGAGCATTCTCAGATCCTACATTAGAGCATTTTGAGGCAGTTACACAGACTAAGGGTCGATATGATCATATCTCTCAGGCCTATGAGAGTTTTTGTTGGCAGAAATCCAGAGTGTCATGGTTAACAGTTGGAGACAAGAGTTCAAAATTCTTTCACCAAGCAGTGAATATTCGCAATTCAAAACAAGCTATTAGGAAGTTGGTGAAGAAGACAGGAGAGGAAATTTTTCAGTCTGATCAGATTGTTGAGGAAGTGATTGGCTTCTGTAAGATATTATTGGGGGAGGCTAATTTGAAAATCAATCCTAGTGAAGAGGAGGTGATACAGCTAGTTAAAAAACAAATACCTTCGGCTGAGTGTGAGACTCTTATTTAGGCGGTCACAGTGGAGGAGATAAGGAATGTGGTGTTTGGCATGAACTCCCAAAAGGCTCCAGGGCCAGATGGGTTATCAGCTGGCTTTTTCAAGAAGACGTGGTCGATTATTGACGCTGATGTGACCAAGGGGATTCTCTATTTCTTCAACTCAGGTAACCTCCCTAGTGGAGTTAACTATACTGCAGTATCCCTAATTCCAAAAATCCTTAGTGCTGATACTTTAAAGAACTTTAGACCTATTTCTTGTATAAATCTCTTATACAAAATAATAGCTAAGGTTCTTGCTAAAAGAATTAGAGAAGTGATGCAATTAATCATCAGTAATTCTCAATCGACTTTCATCAAAGGGACGAGCATTATGGATAATATACTATTGGCTCAGGAATTGGTTAGTGGATATAATAAGAGGTGTTTGTCTTCTCGGTGTGCAATTAAGATTGATATAATGAAGGCATTCGACTCTGTCAATTGGAGGTATCTCTTCCTTATAATGAATGCCATGGGTTTCCCTGAAAAGTTTTTGATGTGGATCAGGAGCTGTATACAAACGGCTCACTATAGTATCAATGTCAATGGCAGCCTCCGTGGTTTCTTTACGGCTAGGAAAGGAGTCCGTCAAGGTGACCCTTTTGTCGCCATATCTGTTTACAATTGCTATGGAGGGTTTGCCCACCATCTTGAAGCCTGCTAGTCAGTCGGGGGTGATACCTTTCCATCCTTAATGACGGAGAATTGCATTGAATCATTTGTGCTTTGCGGATGATCTACTTGTCTTTACCAGGGGATCTGCTCAAGCAATTCTACAGATCAAGGCAGTTCTGCAACAATTTTATCAGGTATCTGGACTTTAGAGCAACTCGGCCAAATGCAAAATATACTTTGGTGGAGAGTCCATTAATTACAAGAGCAATGCTTTAGCTCTTTCTGGATTTCAGGAAGGGAATCTGCCAGTTTGTTATCTGGGCTTACCATTGCTGACTAGCAAGTTATTATCAAAGGAAATAGATATTCTGGTTGAGAAGATTACCAAGAGAATTCGGTCGTGGCATGCAAAGAAGCTGACTTATGCATGGAGGTTGCAACTGCTTAATTTTGTGCTTTTAGGAGTGATTCAATTCTGGATGCAGCTCTTTGTTCTTTCTAAGAAAGCGCTTAAGCGAATTCAGAAGGTATGTTCTCAATTCTTATGGCATGGGATTGATGAAGGAAAGGCTAAGGTGGCTTGGGACTCTATAGCTATTCCAAAATAGGAGGGTGGTTTGGGGGTGAAGGATTTGCTTGCTTAGAATCAAGCGTGCACTATCAGAATGCTTTGGTTATTCTTAATGAACTCAGGGACACTGTGGGTTGCATTGATGTATGAGTATAAGTCTAGGCAGGGTGACTTATGATCTTTGAAGGTGCAATATAGTAGTTCGTGGACTTGGCGACGACTACTCAAACTAAGGGTTGTTGCTTTACCATGGATGCATAAGCAGAAATTATACTCTTTATTGGGACTCAAAAGAGATGCACATTTATTGGTTCGTAGAGTCTGGGAAACGTTGAGAAGTAAAGCTCCCAAGGTCTCGTGGTACAAGCTTGTATGGAGCAGTAACTGTCCACCTCGATACAGTTTGATTGCTTGTATTGTAATGAAGAATGCCATTGTTACGCGAGACAAGTTGCTGAAGTGGGGTAAGATTAGAGATGCTTCATGCCCTCTCTATGGTAAGGACGTTGAGACCAGGAACCATATGTTCCTTCATTGTTCTTTTTCGCGTCGACTTGCTTCTGTCCTGAAGTGCCCTCTACTGCTGCATAATGATTGGGATGAAATGGTGCATTCAATGACCACAACAGTATCTCCTCAAGCAGGGAAATGGCATGCTCATATCTGATGCATGATGGTGACTTTTATGTGGAAGGAACGGTGTGGAGTGATTCATGGCTCGCCAAGACGTGCTCCTGAGCAAGTTGCTGAGTTGATTAAGATGGATTTGATGTTCATATCTTGTGGAAACAAGGGAGTTCAAGATGCGCTGGTAGGGTTGGGATACTTATAGATTTCTATATTTTTTCATATATTGTAAACACATATAGGAGTGGGGGAGAGTGTGAGTCACTTGGGAATTTTTGTGTTCCCGCTTCGTTGTATCGGTTTCTTACTTGGAAATAAAAGCAACTGATTCAACGGGAAAAAAATTAAGTATTTACTTTCACTTTTTTTTTTACCGATGTATCATTTTTATTAGATAAATAGTTTTAATTTTTTTTTATTACTTTGATTTCAAATTGAACTATTGTAAAACATTGCCTTTTCTCTGAATTTTTCAAATTGACTTTTTGGAAGTTATACATATAGACTTTTTATTACTGGTCCAACGGCAGCAACTAACGCGACAAAGACAGCAACTCCATCCTCCCCCGGTTCGAGTGCCGAAGCCTTTCCATTATCTTATATACGGCTTTCATCCGAGAATTCACCCCCCGTCCCACGAGCTACATCAAAGACATATCTTTTCGGGAGATCAACGAAGTGTGCCGTTACTGGCTTTTCTCTTTAGGCTCCATAGACGGAATTATGTATTAGGTATTAGGGAGGAGAGGACACCACTCAGCACCTAAGGTCGGGTTCAATGCCTAACAAAAACAGCCAAAATAAAAATAAAGAGAAGTTGTGGCATTCACCTCTTTATGAATAAGAATTTTTTTATATATTAATGTTATTATCATCTATTTAGATTTTATGTATCAATTTACAACAAAAGGTTAATGTTAGAATTTGAGATTTCATCCCAAAGACAAAATTCAAGTCATCCAAACTCCACTTGTGTGTAATGTAATCAATAGCTATAAAACTATAAATACAAAAAGTAACTGGAAAAATTACAGGCACCGCAAAATCTTCCTAACGTAATCCAACAACATTAACACTAGTAAATTCATTACTATATGCTCCTTCAAGATAATGAAATTTGATAAAAGTCAATTGTATCCTTAATTTCCTACCCAGAAAAAAGAACAAGAATACTACAAAAAGAGAGAAAAAGAAACTGACAACATATCAAATTGGCGAGGTGTGGGAACTAACTAGCTAGCCACAACAGCCGCCTCGCTTGCCGGCATCGGGATCCTGACTGGGGACAATAATCCTGGTCCCTTTCAACAGCCCAGAGTTTGGATCCAAATCATCGTTGGCGGTCAAAGTTTTCTTGCTGATGATCCGATAAATCTCGGTCAAGACGGTCAAGAAGGCGGTCTCGACGTTGGTGGACTCCAGCGCCGACGTCTCCATGAAGAAGAGGTTCTCCCTCTGCGCGAACTCCTGGGCATCCTCCTGCGGCACCGCCCGGAGGCTCCCTAAGTCGCACTTGTTCCCGATGAGCATTATCACGATGTTCTTGTCGGCGTGTCCCCGGAGTTCCTCCAACCACCGCGCCATGTGGTCGAACGACTGCCGTTTCGTCATGTCGTAGACCAACATCGCACCCACTGCTCCCCTGTAGTATGCGCTCGTTACTGCCCTGTACCTGGAAAAGAAAAACAGAGGAAAACTTTATTAGACTGTGTTACCAAAAGAAGAGTTAATTAATAGTTAATATGGCACTAATTAACGAATTCTCGTATCCATAATCTAGTAATCATTCGTGTTGCACGATGGAATATTCATTCCTTCTTTTGATTGTGTTTTAGAAATAAAATTGTATCATCTAACGATTACAGTGTCATGCCTAATTCATCATAACAAATGTGACATAGATGAAAAGATAACGCCATATCCTTCAATCAAATTATATGGTTTAAACAATAAGGTACAAGCCATACAATGGAAGTTGAATCAATTTTGAATCTTGATCAGCATTTCAAATTTTCTGTCTACCTATAGAATCAATCAAGCTTGGATCTTGATCTCATACTACCTCTTATTGGGTCGTCAATAACAACATATAATTCATTAGTTCTATAAGAGAGGGGAGGAAAGTGTTACCTCTCTTGGCCAGCGGTGTCCCAAATCTGGGCTTTGACGGTCTTGTTATCAATGCTAAGGGTCTTGGTTTGAAACTCCACACCAATGGTGGCCTTAGAATCGATGCTGAATTCGTTCCTGGCGAAACGTGCCAAGAGCTGCGATTTCCCTACTGCCGAATCCCCAATCAACACCACCTTGAACACATAATCTATCTTCTGATTGAAATCTACATAATTCGACATTATTATTATTATTATTGTTGCTACCACTGTTTTTTTTTTCCTCCACCCCGGCGCCCCCGATCCGCAGTTACAAAGAATCAAAAAGGGATCAGAACTAATTCCTCCACAATTGATGAGATCTGGGTGTGGTAATTGAATGAAGCTTCAGGATGCTGCGGGTGGGATCGACGACCATGCAAAACCAAAACCTGACATAATCGCGACCGGAGAATGTCAGGAGAGGTAAGGAGGCAGCCGGCGTGGGGAGCTGAATCGAATCGATCGCTACGGTGATTGAGCGTAAGAAGAAAGGGATCGGAAATTTTTTGAAGGACGTGGAAGTGAAACGTGTGTTTTGTTTTGTTTTGTTTTGTTTTGTTTTCTGCTGGTGTTTGGAGGTGAAAGCATAGGAGAAACATAAGGGACCCCAACTAACTGTATGTTAACGGTTTTTTCAGCTATCAGGGTTTTTTTTTTTTACATTTTGGTGTTTTCTTAAATATATTTTATTGATCCGGGAATGGGCTAACTGCTGGCCCACAGACTGATTGGGATGGGCCGCTCGCGTAGCAAAAGGCGGCCACGACCCAGTTAGTTAGAGACAAATTATTTTGCTCAACCAGTCCATACATATGGCTGAAAGAAAATACATATCGTGGGTTGATAACAAGCAAAAAAAGGAAGGTTGATTGACGACTTAATCTCGTCTCATCGATTGGCATTGAAAAGACGAGGATAAATATTCGTTGTGATGCGACTAAAGAATTTTTTCAAGTGGCATTAGTAGTCATCTTCAACTTAGAGACCTTACATTCAAATCTCTTAACTACCATCTAACAATAAAAGAAGTAGCCGTTTGGATATTGGGAGAAAAATACAAAAAAATAAACCGTAGGATTTCGACAATATAACTGTCAAGCAATATCAAAGAACGAGACACAAAGTTTAACATGGCTTCCCTGAGTACCAGGACTAGTCCACGGGAGAGGTTAAACCCTCCAAAGTCAATCGTATTAGTTGCAGAGTCAAGTTTACATGAAGCTATATATATAGGTTACGTAGCAAACCCTAATGACTAAGGCTTAAATATTTACATAATGGTACCTAAACTTTAACACCCTCCCTCAAATTGATGTTGGGTGCGCAACATCAATATGGACGACAGGTACCAATGTCTGCCGGAAGCCAAAGCCTTAGTCAAGATGTCTGCAGTCTGATCTTCGGTTGACAGATAACTCAACTTGATTCTTCCTTCTGTCACCAGCTGTCTAATGTAGTGAATATGAACCTCTATATGCTTGGTACGATCATGTAGAACTGGATTAAGAGTAATCTGTATGGCGCTAGTGTTGTCACCATATAAATGCATGGGTAAGCCGCAGTTAACTCCCAGCTCAACCAGTAGTCGCTGCAACCAGACCAACTCAGAACTCACCTCTGACATTGGGCGATACTCTGCTTCTGTAGACGATTTTGAGACACGATCCTGTTTCTTGCAATGCCAGGACACAAATGACTGACCAACCCGAATACACCAACCTGACGTTGATCTCCTGGTATCCGGACATCCTGCATAATCTGCATTTGTAAATGCTTCAATGGTTTCTTCTCCAGAAGATGGAAAGAAGAGACCCACATCCTGGGTTTGCTTAAGATATCTCAAAATCCGGTGGACTTCATCCAAATGTTGTGATCTCGCGACTCCTAGGAATTGACTGACTACTTGAACAGCATAGGAGATGTCTGGCCTCGTGTGAGTTAGGTAGATCAAACTCCCTACTAAGCTGCGATATAGGGATTGATCTTCCATTAAGTCACCACTATCCCTGGTCAACTTAAGATTTTGTTCCATAGGAGTTGCACATGGCTTACTGTCAGTGTAACGTGCAGTCTCAAGCAGGTCTGTAATGTACTTCTTCTACGATACCAACACGCCCTGCTTTGAACTATGAACCTTCCAAGATCTTTGAGCTTGAATTCCTTGTGGAGGGACTTCTTCAAGACCTGAATCCCCTCTGCATCACAGCCGGTGATGATCATGTCATCAACATAAATTAACAGAACCAAAATCCCATCAACCGTGTTTATCACAAACAGAGAAGGATCATTCTGACTTTGATCAAATCCGAATTGAATTATTGTGCCATGAAATTTCTCAAACCAGGCACGAGGTGCCTGTTTGAGACCATGTCCGTCGAGCCTTTTGTGTACCCTGGTGGTCTCTCCATATATATGACCTCCTTGAGATCCCCACGTAAGAACGCATTCTTCACATCTAATTGTTACAACGGACAATTTTTCATAGCAGCCACCGCCAACTCACATCGAACGGTTTGCATCTTGACCACTGGCTACTACATGTGCCTTCAATCGCTCAATGGTGTCATCATGGTACATCTTTATGTTATACACCCACTTGCTGTCGATAACGGACATGTCCGGAGTGCGTGGCACTAGCTTCCACGTATTATTGGCCTCTAGTGCATTCGACTCTTCTTGCATTGCCATTTCCCACTCAGGATGCCCTACTGCCTCATCATACAGTCTGGGAATAAAGATAGGTGTGGTGGCAAACCCCACATAGTCATGCAAGCGTAATGGTGGTTGCCCCATTGTACTACGTGTGGATCTTCGGAGGGTCACAGTGATATGATCCCAAATGGGCCATTATACACGTTTAATTTACTTGATGAAGAAGCTATCGAAGTTGGGAAGAAGAAGGGCAGAATTTGGCTAAGTCAAAATCCGTGTTCAGGATACATACTTTGGAGGCATGGTTCTCTCAATTGGCTGGGTGGAAATTCATGTTTAAAGGTTTGTTTTACAGATAAAGTTACCATGTTTCCAATGGTATGCTTTTGGGATTCAGAAGATGTCATTAAGGTTGTTTTCCAAGGCCTCAAAGTTGCTACCTCAAAACTGGAAAACTGCCAGAAAATGACTAAGGCAGAAAACTGTGTTGTGAAGCCTACTTTGGAGCTTAATTCGAGGAGTATGGATCTGATTCAAGACAAAGGGCTTCCACAACATGAAACTAGGTATGTTAATGTACAAAGGGAAGGAATTGGATGAAGAATTGGAGTTCGGGAAGGCCTCGAACAAAAGGCGCGAAGTTAGTACGAAACCTGCATTTTGACTGTTTTGCGGGCAGCTTACTTGTGCGCCAAGAAAGGAAGTTTATGGCCGAATTTTGAGTCCTTTTTAGAGTTTGTTTTTACCATAATTGTTTCCTAGTTCTATTAGGCTTGTATTAGGATTTTATTGTCTTTAAATAGCTTTCATTCTCACGTTGTAAAAGTTAGAGTTGAATGAAAATTGCTCCTTTGTGAGAATTGTGTTCTTTGAGAGTTCTCAAGAATCAAATCCTTGAGTTAGTTTTGTAAGGATTCCATTGCTAATTCGAGAACCCTTGTTAATCTTTTCTGTGAGGATTCCAGAATCGGTTTACGAGTTTTCTTATCAATCAAGTAATCACCTTGATTGTGGCGAAATTCTACCTTTTCCATCATTATCGTTCGAGAGTGTGTTTGCTGCGTTACTCTGATCAAAAGCACCCCCCTGGTGCTTTATCACACAGCCTCCTCATTTTGATTCCCCACCTCTTCTTCAACGAGCTGCCCATCCCCATCCCCACCATTACCATTCGAAGAAGAACTAAACAGCCCCGAAGACGAAGAGGAGCTTGCTGCTGGCGAAGAGGAGCTCGCTGCTGCTGACGAGGAGTCCGAGCTTAAGGACGTTGATGACGCTGCTGACGGGGTGAGCGGACCATCTAAATCATTCCCTCCGTGATTTCCTGTACCTCCAGAAGGCGGGTCTCATCAAAGCTGGGTACAATGTTCAGGAAATCCAATGAGGCCACATGAGATTCTTTGTCTTGGGGAGAGAGAGGATAGTACATGATGTGTTCAAGAAACAAAACATGATGGGAAATGCGCATCCTTTTCCCGATCGGGTCATAGCAGCAATACCCCTTATGTTTGTCGTTGTACCCAACGAAAACACATTTCACAGTCTTGGGTGCTAACTTGTGACGTTCAGCTCGAGGAAGTAGAACAAAGCATGAGCAGCCGAAAACTCTCAAGCGAGTATAGTCAGGAGTTCGAGAAAACAACGCCTGATATGGTGAGATCTGTCCCAACGTCGGAGTGATCTGACGATTGATTAAATGTACCACCGTATGAACTGCCTCGATCCAATAACCACTAGGAACATATGAGTGAAACAGTAAAGCTCTAGTGAGCTCAAGCACGTGTCTATGCTTCCGTTCTACCACTCCGTTCTGCTGAGAAACACCTGCACAAGATAGTTGAGGCAGAATCCCCTCAGATTTATAAAACTCAATTAGTTCATGCTTGATAAACTCACCCCCTGTATCTGACCTAATGACCTTGATAGTCTTCCCAAATTGAGTTTTAACAAGTTGTACAAACTCTTTGGCCAAGGAACAGAGTTCAGACTTGCGACGCAAAAAATAAACCCAAGCATAGCGCGTCTTATGATCTATAAACAGAGCAAAGTACCTATATCCCATACGTGACGTCACTAGAGAAGGGCCCCACAAGTCGGTATGGACTAAATCAAACGGTTCTTCATAAACCGTCTCACTAGAAACAAAGGAATTCTGAGAAGCCTTTGCTTCAAACAGCTCAAACAATCTGACTGAGAACCAATAGAATGCTCAATATTTCAAGGCAATAAATTTCGAAGAAACATTGTCAACAGTCTAGCCGAATAAGGGTGACCTAATCGGTAATGCCACAGATCCCAAACCGAATATTTCTTGTTTAAATTCAAACCAACTGAATTAACCAAAAAATCCGAAATATCACATGCTGGCTTTTGCGTGATGAACTTCGCTGAATCCACAGCTGCCACCCCTACGTGTCCATGCAGCCCATGCAAACTCGTCCGATCTTCAAGTCTCACATCTCCTCCTGGTAGCCTAGCATGTTTCTTCAATTCGTTCAACACGTAGAGACGTCCATGTTTACTTCCTTTCCTTATCACCCTCCCCGTCTCCTTGTCCTGTACCACACAATCGTTCGAATTAAATGTGACATCGCAACCATCCTCAGTCAATTGTCCAACCAACACTAGATTAGGAACTAAACGAGGAACATATAAAGTTTCCGGAAGAGTGTTATTTGGTGATGAAGCAACGCCACTACCACTAACAGGTACACGATCACCATTTGCAACTTCCAGGGTCATAGGAGAGACTGTTTTCAGCTTATCAAAGACGGAATGCACAGGAGTCATATGATTAAAAGCTGCCGAATCGAGTAAACACCGAGGAGACTTACCCAAAAAATTAGTTGTGGCAAAGGCCGAAGTAAGGGCCGCTTGAGGCGCTTCCTGCACCATTCGCT